TTATATGGGTATTAGAAACAAATGTAGAAGAAAAACCAATTTTCCCTTTTCCTTTCATAGATCATAGGTATGATGGGCACTTGATAAGAAAAGTTAAATAAGAGAAAAACAAACAAGGTTATTGCATATTCAGATGTACATAGGCAATAACAAGGGAAAATGAATAATTTCAAAGAAGTGGCTTAGCTCTCTGTCTTATGTTTTGTCCTCATCAAAGAACAATATTTTTCTGCAAAGTGACATGACCAAGGAAAAGAACTAGGTGGGTGTAGCTCACTAATAGAGCACTTGCCTCATATGTGCATCTAGGTTCCATCCTTAGCACTGCAAAAAACACAAACCAAACCAAACCCCAAGCCCAAAGAAATAAGCCCACCAAATGAAAATTGGAGGAAGGACCCAGAGTCTCTGTGGGCAGCAAATTATGGGAAGTTATATATATGGCAGGTAAAGTCTAGCTGGTAAAGCTTGCTGTTTGTAGGCTGCTCAGGGTCTAAGGTTGTCTTTAGTGATTAACCTTTGTCCTTCCTGGTATAGAGGTGAGATAGAACACTTGCATAAATTTACGTTCCGCTTTTAGGTAGGTTGTAGGATAGTAGAGAGCTTTTCTTATGTCTCTTTCTGAATTTCTCTTGGCTGCAAATAATCTTATGCTGAAGTGGCATATTTTGAGTGGCATAGTCTGCTACCCTTTACATAGTGCCAGATGTTATAAGGTACATATATGGAATCTATTAAAGGAATTTTGTTTTGAAAGCCATTGTAAATCTTTTAAAAAATAACCCCAGCCACATTTTATTGTTATTATTTTTAGACAGGGCCTCATGTAGCCCAGGCTGGCTTTGAACTGGTCTCAAACTTACTATGTAGCTGAATATGACCTTGAATCTCTGCTCTGAGTGTGTTACCATGCTACCATGTCAACTGGATAAAGATGAATGTCTCTTAATTTCCCTTAATTTCTCTTATTTACCTTGAATAATAAAGTTTTAATTGATTTTTATTTTATCTTTATGTTTAGAAATGTTGCCTCTGAGTATGTATGTATACCACCTGCATGCCTGGTGCCCAGGGAGGCAGAGAAGGGTGTCAGATCCCTGGAACTAGAGTTAGAAATGGTTGTGAACTGCCATGTGAGTGCTGGGACTCAAACCTGTGTTCTCTGGAAGAGCAGCAAGCACTCAAGTGATGAACAATATTGCCAGTTCTGCTTTTTATTTTTAAAATAATATTCTCAAAATAAGAAGAAGCTTCTTTATTTCTTTCCTGAAAAGTGGCCCATTTTACTTATACCATCATATGCTCCCTGCTTTAACAGTAATCAGGTAACCACTGCTTTGTTTTGCTTTGACTAATGACTAAATATTATTCTGCAATCACCAAGAGTAGTGTCATTAGTTTTATTTCTTTTTGAGAAGAAGTGGGGTTTGGAATTTAATAGAGCCCCACAGCAAGCATTTTATTTTACCTGGTTACAGAGCCTTCCCTAAGTTTGCAAAGAGGAAGAAAACTTACATGGGATGCTTCCCATGTGCCAGGCACTGGGGCTGTCTTGTGTAATCTTTCCAACAAGCCCGTGGAGTGGAGATCATCAGTCTGTTTTCTAGACCAGGAAACAATGTAATGAAGTGGCAGAGCTAAAATTCACTCTGAGTCCTTCCTGCTCTAGAGTCCCCACTGAACTTTGTAGCACCCCACCTCCCAGTGTACATATTGAGAAATGATAGTGCTTGAGTTATGATAGTACTTGAGTTATGACAGTGCTTAAGCTTTCTATTATGAAAAAACATCAAGTATATAGAAAGGTGAACTGTTTAATGAACTCCAGTGTGCCTCTCACTCAGCTTTAACAGGCCAGTCTTGTGTCTTTTCTACCTCAACCCTCCTATTCCTTGATAGTTTTGAAGTGGGCTCTCTGTATTTCAAACTATACTGGTAAAAGATAAGGACCCTTTTGGACATGCTAACAACATCATGGGTTACCTTACTATAAAACTCAACAATAATTTTTGAGTATCATCAAATAATTCTTTTAACTACCTCTCATAGTATTTTAAAAAATCAGAACACTAGGGACCTAGCAATATCGCTCCATGGTTACAGGTTCCTGCTGCTAAGCTTAACTACCTGAGTTTGATCCCTGGAATTCACATAGTGGAAGGAGAGAACAAACTTCTACAAATCGTCCTCTGACCTCGATATGAGCACTGTAGCAAGTGTGCACACCCCCCAAGCATATAAAATAAGTGAAAAAGTAATGGGTTTTGTATCACACACACACACACACACACACACACACACACACACACGTGACTTATCTCAGCACTAGAGTTCTCATTTACATGAAATATTTCTGAATTAAGAGGTTAGACTATCTGACTGAGCTTGTGCCTGCAGGACAGGGGCACAACATAGGTCATTAGTCTCGTTTTCAGTGTCTTATTAGCCAACTGTTTTCTTTGTACTTTTCCATTGCATGATCCTTTTAGAAAAATTTTAAAGAATACTACTCTATCCAAACTTGACTCCTGTGTAAATTTGAAGTGATCCTCAGCTTTGTGATTTTGAAAGAAAGATAAGGAAGAAGGGAGTGGGAGAGGGTGGAAGAAGCCTTGAGAATCGGAAGTGAGACTGTTAACAGAGGTTGGGGAATATGATAAAGAATAGCAGAGATGGCCTTGGGTTCCCCACTGGCTCTAGGTCTCATCTGGTTAACTTACTCAACAGCTACTAGGTGTCTACTGTTAGATCCCCATGGTTCTAGATCCTGATTATGTCATTGGGCAAACCAGACAAAGATTTTCATGGGGCTTGTCTCTTTTGGGTGTAGTTGTCACCCTGTGACAATAGTTATACTTCTGGTTATGCAGCTTTCATGATGCTTGTCTGAGGAGAAAAGCCCATCACCAATAATGTAAAGTATTTAAAGTCTGAGAAGTAAATTTGTTTTTCCAACTCAAAGGTGCCAGTGATGATGCAGTTAGTTGTGCGGTGATGCTGGAAGTTCTTCGTGGCATGTCAACATCTTCAGAAGCCTTACAGCATGCTGTGGTCTTCCTCTTCAATGGTGCTGAGGAAAATGTCTTACAAGTAAGCTTTTACTGTTTTAAATACTTGGATTGAATGATAATGAGAAGAATAATAATTGGTTACATTTAATGCATTCTTATTAGCAAGATGAATAGTATCATAAAATGATATGCGAGGGGCTGGAGAGATGGCTCAACAGTTAAGGGCACTGACTGCTCTTACAGAAGATCTGAGTTCGATTCCCAGTACCCACATGGCGGCTAACAACTGTCTGTTGTAACTTCAGTTTTAGGGGATCCAAGAGGCCTTCTGACCTCTGTGGGCATTGCATGACATGGGTTCACTTACATGCAGACAATACACTCATACATATAAAATAAAAATAATCAATAAAAAATGATATGCAAAAGAAATATTGTACTTGGCAGCACTTAAAAAGAAATCTACGGGGCTGGAGAGATGGCTCAGCAGTTAAGGCCATTGACTGCTCTTGCAGAGGACCCGGGTTTGATTCCCAGCACCCACATGGCAGCTACAAACTGTCCTTAACTCCAGTTCCAGGGGAATCCAAAGCCCTCTTCTGACCTCTGCGGCATTGCACGACACGGGTGCACTTACTTACATGCAGGCAATACACTCATACACATAAAATAAAAATAATAAATTAAAAATTAAAAAAAGAGCCGGGCATGGTGGCTCACACCTTTAATCCCAGCACTCAGGAGGCAGAGGCAAGTGGATCTCTGTGAGTTCAAGGCCAGCCTGGACTACATAGTGAGTTCCAAGTCAGCTGGGGCTACTGGGAGACCCTGTCTCAAAAAAAGACCAAAATAAATAAATAAATAAATAAATAAATAAATAAATAAATAAATCTACTTGTGGTCATGTTCAGCAGTCCAAAATCAATTCAGAATAGTTCATCCTGGTAGCATATAAGTCTTTTTTGTTTCTGTTTTAGTTTTTGAATCAGGGTCTTGCTCTATATCCAAGGCTGGCTTGGTGCTTACGATCCTCCTGCCTTAGCTTTCAGGAGTGCTGAGAGTGCATACAAGTATGCACCACCATGCCCAGCAAAGTGTTTGAGTCTTAAAAGGGCTCTGATGGCATCCTTACTGTCCTGTGATTTTTTTGTTTTTTTGACCCTGGAGTTTCAGAGAGAGATTTTGAGGTGGGTAAATAGAATGCATGACCAACCATGTGGATTGTCTTTTTAACTTTTGCATAACCTCACTCTTAGTGAGCTGCCTCTGTGATGGATGACTTTCCACTCATTAAACTAAACACAGCCACTATATACAGAAAGAGAAACAAAAGATGCCTTTAGAGACTACCCTTGAGAAATGATTATTTTATCTCAGTCTTTATCTTTTCAGGATAGCCATTTCATTGTGAAAATAAGCAAAATGAAAACTTTGATAGTTGAAGCTGGTTTAACCTAGGTTTTCTGTCTTCATTAAGGCCAGTCATGGTTTTATTACTCAACATCCCTGGGCCAGTTTGATTCGTGCATTTATTAACCTGGAGGCCGCAGGTGTTGGAGGAAAAGAACTTGTATTTCAAACAGGTATGTGAGGTAGTGCACTGTATTTTAATTCAATCCTAATTTTTATGACAGTGGAAAGTTTGTCAATGTAAGTAATGTCCTTAGTGAACAATCTCTTTAGTGAGATTTATTTTTAAGGCATGAGGTAATTTTAACTTGTCTTTTGAAAAAATTTTTTGTGTATATGTATGTGTGTGGTATATGTATTTCTTTTTATGGGTGTGCATGTATGTGTGCATGCATACACAGGTATGTGTGGAAACTAGAGGTATCAACATCAGGTGTCTTTCTCAGTTGCACTCCCCCTTAATTTTTGAGGGTCTCTCTGAACCTGGCTGGGCTCGTTGGCCATTGAGCTCTAGGGATCCTTCTGTCTCTGCCTTCCCAACAACTGGGGTTACAGATGTGCACTACACCTGGGTTTTACATGCATTCTGGGGATCCAAACTCAGTTCTTTATTCTTCCTCAGCAGACACCTCACTGACCAAACCATCTCCCCAGTCCCTTTGTTAAATATTTTTTAGCATGTAACTCTTGTATAGTGCTTATCATATGAAAATATTACTTGAAGCATCTTATGTATTGTGTCATTTAGTCTTCAGAATAACGGGAAGAATAAATACTGCTATTACTTTCATGTTACAGATGAAGAAGTAAAGGTGTGAGAGTATAACTTGAAGGGTTCAAGTTGGTGTGTAGCAGAGCATGATTTGAATCTGAGCAGTTCAGGTTCAGAATTGATTCATAACATACACTGTCATATAATGGTGAATATTATTTCTATTTTATGGATGTTTATGATAGAGATAAAATAACTATCATTTCATCAGTTAAAATGAGAAAATTTACCTGCAGTTTAAGGATTTAAATCTATCATTGAATTTATTCGAGTGGAAATCCATTAATATATAATTAGCCTGAGAAATGGTTTAAATTTTATGATCAAATTTTTCTAAAGAAAACAAAATACAATTGATTAATATCATGTACTTATCAGACTTTAAATTTCACAGATTTGTTTAGTCAGGAGAAGCTATAAAAATCTGACATCAGAAGTTCCATCTGATATCCTGCCTCTGATAGAAATTTGGGCAAAACATCGTTTTAGCCATACACAGAGCATTTGCCAAAATCTGTTTTTTGTTTGTTTGTTTGTTTGTTTTGTTGTTTGTTTTGAGACGGGTTCTCATTTCATAGCCCTAGCTGACCTTGAACCCTTGATCCTTTTGTTTCTACCTTTGGAGTGCTGGGCTCATAGGCATTCTCCACTGTGCCTGGCTTGCTAGGAGTTTTAATAGCTGTTAGTGTTTGGAGTGAGATGGGCTAGAGGAAATGAGTAAGGTGGTAGAGAAACTTACTTGTAAATCTTTGAAAGACATGGTATTGTTTGTATGAAATGATATTAAGTGCGTTTTGTGACTTAAACAGTACCATATTTAAATATTCTCTCCAACTTACTTTTAACTTATAACTTTCAAAATGGACATATATTTTGCTTCAGCTCCACTTTAAGAATTTCAAAGTCAAGGGGTCAACTGAGGAAAGTTTTTTTTCAGCTCTCAAACTTTGCTTCTTTCTCTTTAAGGAGAAGCTGAACTCTAATCTATAGGAATCTGCAGGGAGATCTGCTGCATTTTATCCTCTCTGTTTGTCAAACTTCACTCAAGATAGGAGGAACACTTAACAACTACCTAATCAAAAAGAAGCAGCAGAAACTTCTATGAGCAGGAAAAGTGAGTCTTTTCTTTCCTGCTGTGAAAATCTCAGACTCTGCATGGGCAGTAGTGTGTCTTTGTTTATTTTCCCCTGCCAGAAGTATCCTATATGCTAAGTGCCTTTCTATCTTCATGCTTTTAATTTATAATCTCAGCACCCTGTTCGCATACTCTACTGTCCAGAGATAACCCAGTCTTTTGGTTCAGTCCATATCATTTCTGAAGGTTTTTCTCTGCATATATATTAGTATAGCCATATATATATATGGTTCAGAGAGTTAGGTCCAAGCTCAAGTCAATTCTTCGTTTACTTACATTTATTGAGCACTCACTTTTGCTGGGTCTGACTTGGCCGAAGTTCCTACTCTTCATCAAATACATGTAGCTTTAGATAAAAATTCTTCAGTTGCATAAAATTTAGAAATATTTGCATTATCTGGAAGCATGTAAGCCAAGTTAATAACAGTTACAACTAGATGGTGGGTGTCTGCTCTTGGATGTGCCTGGAGTGGAGATGGGCAAAATGTAAAAAGTTGGTTTGAGCTCTCTGTTGCTTTGTAAAGATAGGAACAGAATTAGCGTTACTGTTCTGCTTATGCTTTCTTTAGTTTTCAGTCTTATTTAAAGGTTTTGCTGTGAATATGTTACTTTAACAATAAAGAAGATTAGGGTTACTAGCAGTATATGTACAATTTAAACAATTTACTCAGTAATTGAAACATTCACTTAGTAAAAGCTTCATTTTAAAAATTATTCTGCTCCCCTGGAAGCATCCCATAATAGATTTGCTGAGACTGCTTCCCCGCTTTATCTGAATTTTATATTGTTCTTTCCCCTTAGTTTTGAACTTATGTTTGTGTTTAAACTGTGTACCTGAGAGCTTTTGGAGTGCCTCTGACATTCCAGTAACTTCCAGGATCCGTCTCTCATGTGTGATGTAGGAAGACTAGTTTTATTATGGATATGACTTTCAGAAAGACTAGTTAGTGTTGTTTCCATGTTTGACTAAGAGAACATAAACATCCCCCAGGCCCCCCAGATTTGGAATTGTACTTCAGAACATGTGCCAAATGGCTCTGCCCTCGCTTTTTTTTCAATTTCATTAAAAAAAATATTTTTATTTTATGTGTATGAGTATATTGCCTGCATGTAGGTAAGTGCACCTGTGTTGTGCAGTGCCTGCAGAGGACAGAAGAGGCTGTCGGATACCCTGGAACTGGAGTTACGGACAGTTGTTAGCTGCCATGTGGGTGCTGGGATTCGAACCTGGGTCTTCTTCAAGAACAGCCAGTGTTCTTTATCACTGAGCCATCTTTCCAGCCCCCATCCTCAGCTTTTTAAACAGACCTCTTTTTCTGTGTGATAATACTTGCTCTGTCCTGGAAACTTTTCAGTTAAAACCATTTGTACTCTCCAGAGCTCCATTGTCACTTCAGAGTGAAATGTTCATTTGGGGAGCTTTTAGTGACTAGAATGATCATTATTACCAAATACTAGGAAAAGTGATTTGTCAGACCAGTAATAACAGTGAGTCAGGAGGGCTTGATGTAGTAAGTTTTGAAGGTGTTAATAAAATCCAGTCTTAGCTGGGTGTCGTGGTGCACGCCTGTAGGCAGAGGCAGACGGATCTCTGTGAGTTTAAGGCCAGCCTGGTCTACATAGTGAGTTCCAGGACAGCTGGGGCTACAGGGAGACCCTACTTCAAAAAGACAAAAAAAAAAAAAAAATCCAGTCTTTTGAAATTTAAACAAATTATACCAATAATATATGTTCATTTAAAAAATTTCAGGGGGCTGGAGAGATAGCTTAGCTATCTGGCTTATCACTGGCTGCTCTTGCAGTTGACCTGCATTTGATTCCCAGCACCCACATGGCAGCTAACAACTGTCCATAGCTTCAGTTCCAGAGGACTCTAACACCCTCCTCTGACCTCCATGGGCTTTGCACGACATGGGTGCACTTACATGTATGTAGGCAATACACTCATGCACATTAAAAAAAAAAATTCAGGAACTATCACCTTTGAATACAAGAAAGCCCATACGCAGAAAGATCATTGTATTCCCACCACTCAGAGCAAACTGGTGTGGTAACTTGGTCTACTCCTTTCTGGAATTTTTTTCTGTATGTATAGCTTTATGCATATGAACACCTCTTCCTTTAAAAAATAGGATAGGGACTGGAGAGATGGCTCAGTGTTTCCAGAGGACCTGGGTTTGGTTCCCAACACCCACATGGCAGCTAACAACTTTCCATAACTCCAGTTGCAGGGGATCCAGTGCCCTCTTCTAACCTCCGTGGGCATTGCACAACATAGGTGCGCTTATATACATGCAGACAACACATGCATACATCTAAAATAAAAGAAATAAAATATGAGGCTGGAGAGATGGCTCAGCGGTTAAGAACACTGGTTGTTCTTGCAGAAGACCTGGGTTCAAATCCCAACACTCATATGGCAGCTAGCAACTGTCCGTAACTTTACTCCAGTTCCAGGGGATCCGACAGTCTCTTCTGTTCTCCGTAGGCATTGCGTGACATGGGTGCACTTACCATATATAAAATGGGTTAGTATTTTGCTACTTTTAAAAGAATCTATTTCTTTTTTAAATTTTGGCTTTATTGAGTTACAATTTACATATCTTACATCAGCAACTTAAAGTGTAAAATTCAGTGTTTTAGGTGTATTCACATCATCATTCTAGAGCATTTTAAAAAGTTTATTTATGTGTGTGTGCGCACATGTGTGCCGGTGCTCACAGAAGCCAAAAGGGGCTGTAGGATCCCTTGGAGCTGGAGTCAAAGGCGTTTGTGAGCTGCCTGCCATGGGTGCTGGGATCTGAAGGATCAAACAGCAAGCACCCTTGACCACTGAACCATCTCTCCAGCCCCCAGAGCATTTCTAATTCCTTCTAAAGGAATCTCTATGCTCACCAGTTAGCTATTACTTACATTTCCCCAACTCAGCCATCTACATGTCTCCACCTATCCTAAATGTTTCTGAGCGATGGAATCGTGCAATTTGTGGTTGATTGTTATGTAATGTGATGCGTTTGAAGTTTCTTCATGTTGTGACATGTGTCAGTACTTCATTTTAGTAAAACGACTGATTAACTCATTGTATGGTTATACCACATTTTAAAGCTGATGGACATTTGGAATGTTTCCACTCTTAATCTGTTATAAATATGCCATATGCACATTCATGTGGAAGTCTTGGTATGAATACACATTTCCATTTCTTTTGGGAAGATAACCCAGGAATGGAATTCTTGAGTCACGTTGAGAATTAAATTTCTCTTTTT